TGTATTGCTTGTTTTTTTAATCTCATTGAATCTCTCTTGATGGCCCAACACAATTTATACATTGCCTTTCATTTGGACATTGAATGCAATATATTTATCGAAAATGAACGATTAATTAGGAAATTACCTATTATTGAAATTATTTAAAAGCTTATACATTTAGTTATCGATTGAAAGTATTGAAACAGTTATCGATAAAAACTATTGAAATGCTTATACACTCAATTATCGGTCAAAACGTTCCGGTTGAATTCAACACAATTTATTTTACGATAAGCGTATTGATTAGAATTCATTCCAATACAAATTATCGTAAAGCGATAATTATCGATTCAATAGTAGGACTATATTTTACTTATTGATATATTTCTACGATTGGGATGTCATTAGTTATCGATAAGAAACATTATGTAATTTAAGTACCTATTGATAATTAGAAACGAAAAAAAAAATTATCTATTGATAATTATCGATTACAATTAAATTTAATGAGCTGTTGTCATAGACTGATGAGATCATCCATAACAAAACTATATGCAATTTGTACACCGATAATTAAGACTCACAAAATTTGATCTATTAGCAGTTGTTATCGATTTTAATTTTCGATTACGATTAAATTTAATAGGACTCTTAGAAGGATAGTGTAACCTAAATTGCCAGTTAATATCGATTTACCTTATATTAATATTAATATATATGTACAATTTAACCCTAATTGGTTATCGATAAATTGAAATATTGATCTATCGATACATGTAGATAATAATTGATTGCAATTTGTCTAACAATAGCCTGATAGAAGTTTACTATTATTTGAGTTGTAGTTATTTCAGATAAGAATTGATAAGAGTTTAAATTGATTGTATTAGTTATTATAAGTCAATAATGATTTGATCGGCTTTTATTCAAGCAAAACCTACTCTTATTTTCAACTAAATGAAGATAAGCAAATGGGCGTTGTCGAAAGCTTCAAGTTCCCATGCTCAAATATGAAATATTTAAAAGAATTAATCAGAAGCAAAATTTAAAAGAAAATATAAGAAACAAACAAACAAATAATTTATTATTTGTACTCTAACTAAACAAGTTTTTTTTTTTTTTACAGAATTTCTTTTCAAATTGTAAATTTATTTGATTATGTCAGAGTCTAGCATAATGTATATAGTATATGCATTATGATCGTCTGTATAGGGTGATCAAAGCGGAAGAGCAACTAGAAATGTTTATGACGAAAATGATTTATGTGGCCATAAGGTATATATGTGTGTAGATGTGTACAGACATATGAATGTATGTGCGTGCGTAATATTTGAATGAATGAAGGCTTTCAGCCAACATGAATCAGCTCAACTAACAGCTAACAACAAGTGACATTTGTTTTGACAAACACAAAAAAAAAAAAATATATATGAAAAATATGAGAAGCCCAAGCAGTGGCGTATTAGTATTAGTAACCGCAGTTGACCCACAAAATAAAGAACTGCAATGTGCGCCGCCCAACTGAACTTGAATCGCTTGTGGTCGCTGCTGTTGCCAAATAAGATGAGTTTCGTTTAGACGACGCCTGGGAATTGAAAACAAAAACGGCAAGAGCAGCAGCTGTCAAATAAACTAATGTGCGCAACAAGTACAACAAACAAACAAACAAACGACAAGCAACAGCAACGAGCAACTCGATGAGTGCCACGCGGCGTATGAGTAATCGCCAGCAGCCAAACGAGCGCGTCAATCAATAGACCTGAAACTATACGAAAACAAAACAACAAAAACACACTCACACACACATACACACATAACAATGGAGCTCCAAAACAACAAGAGAAAACGAACACAAAAACTCCCACGCCCCGCTAAGCTGGCGGCTCTCTCAACTAAATTTCCAGTCACACCAGCATGAAACGAAAAGAAAAACGAGTCAAATTGCTGTAAGCGGGCGTGCCCAAATAGAGCATACCCTAAAGCCCATGCCGTGCCCTTTCGCATTAAGGAATGCATATCGATAATAATCGATTTCTTATATAAAGCAAATTTTAAGTTTGCAAATAAACAAACTACAAATATATCGACTTGGTTACATAATATGTATGTATATATACTAAATATTTATAGGTTCAGTCTCCTTCCGTCTTTCACATAGACTTTGATAAAAACCAGCATACCCTAAATGCGCCTTTTCAATGAACTCAGGGCCATATAGAATTTGATTTATTTGTTATTCATAGCAAAAGTTTGTAAAGAAGTTTTGCTAAACCAATATAAAACAAGTAAGAATATTGCAATCGGGCGTTAACGACTGCAGAATACTCATTCAAGGCCCATACGCTGCCGTATCTATTTTGCGACTTGTCGCGCCCCTAAGTGGCATATATACATATATTATATTTTTGTGCAAATCTTGTACACAATCTAAATTAAAATGCATTTTCCAATTTGCCACGAACGGATCGGGAAAATTTTGACACTTTACACGAATATGTTTTCCAAATTGAAAGTCTCTAGCTTCTATAGCACCGAAGGGGCTTACATTCACAGGGACAGACGGACATTGCCCACAACCAATATGCTCATTTTACTTTCGTGAAGAAGTATATAAAATCAGCAAGGAATCAAGATAGCTGAAGAAAGTTGGGTAAATTAGTTTGTTTATTTTTTCCTCAACATAAACCAACTAAAATGAAGCAAGACCCCAATCAGATCAAACAATAGCAGATGATTTTATTCCTGTATAATTTGTCTATTAAAAAAAACGTATACCACAAAATATTGAAAGGTATACAAGGAGTATAGACTCAAGCTATAGTCACATATAACCATTAGACAAGTAATACCTACATCATTTCCTATGCATAGATGCCTGACAGGAAAGTTCCTAATATAATTGCTTTTGTCTAGCCTACAGATCTATGGTAAAATATCTTGGATAGGGCAAATTTCTTGATGATTGGTGCTCATTTCTACTCAGAGATAACGAAACTGATCAAAAAGTCTCTACAATGGAGTAGAAGCAGCAGACTCCACGCTGCAAACTACATAGAGAAACTAGATTGGGCAAATAATTTAGTAGGGCTTAAGGAGAATGGCTTCAGTGGAGAATGCAACACCCTGGGGTGTTTCTCAAAGAAATCGTCAAAATTTCCCACTTTTTATTAAAATATTGGTTGTCAGTTTGTTATTCATTATAATAAAAAAAAAAAAAAAAAAAAACAGCAATCGGCAATCGGAAAAAAACAATTAGCCAAAGTAAACAGATATTTTTTATACATTTATTTGTAACTTGAAACTTATAATTATATACACATACATATATAAAGCGAGTAACATATTCGGATTTTTATTTTTCAACTTTTTTTCCGATTTATGTACAATCTTTGTTAGTTATGTTACATATACTATATATCATCGGAAAGGGTTTTTTTTTTTTTTCAATCTACAATTTAGCATTTACAATTTTTTGATTTCAATATTATATGTTTTATAGGCGTTTGAAGTTGAAAAATAAAAAGTCGATTATTAATGTTACTCACTGTATATATATAAAATATATCACAGCAGTAGTTCTTAATAATCTTCAAATTATTCAAATAGAGACTCTGTCAGTAACCTATTTTTCATTCATTTCGTTTCAAGGATAAACAAAGTGTAATCAAACGATTTTTGAATATATACACATATCTAGACATATATACATATATCTAATAGTGAACAAATTGTATATAGTGTGTATGTGTGTGTTTAACAATCGAATGCGATAATGTTTATATAGAGACGATAAGACTAATTTGTAATTGCCCAATAGGTAGGCATCTTATAAATATATAGCCAATATATATCTCTCTCCTGTATCTATATCTCTACATATACCATTGCTATATACATATGTTGCTATTGTATTTGATGCTGTTGACAAGCGCTACACATGTACATGAAACCGCAATAACAAATTAACAACTTGGTCTTTTTATTGCAATATTACTCATACGCAACGTAAACGCTAGCAAAAATGAACTGAAAATTTGCCAGTTAACATGCGGCGTTGCACACCCATTGATTCATCACACACTGGCATGCAAACATACATATACTATATATACATATATGTGCGTTTGTATATATCATTAATGAAATTACGCGTTAATGCAATCAATTTCTGATTAGCTTTCTTGGGCATGTCTTTTTTTTTTCGTTTTTTTCTTTCGCTTGAGAATTTGATAGATAGTGATATTATGAATTATAATATTATATAGGTATATATATGTTGAAATATATATGTATGCTCTGATTACATACATTGTGTAGAACATTTGACATTAACTCAGAATCGATGGACATATATAAATACAGTGCGCGTCATTAGGATAGGATAGCCCTTATGAAAAGTGCTTTTCAGCTCTTACAAAACTTATTTTAAAGTTTGATGTTCAGCTTGTCATTTGACCTTTGAAAAAGTATCGTTATCTTGAAAGAAGTACTGCGCATCTCTGTGTGGATTGTCTATTTGAAATCAAATTAAATTGAAATCTTTCACATATATATATGTATATATATCTTACTAAAATAATTTTGTTCTCAAAGAAGATTAATTTTGTATAATAATAAATACAAATTTGCTTAATTTTTATCATTAAAAAAGAACACAAATGATAAAAAATCTCGATAAATAAAACAAAAAATTCTATACCCTTGAAAAAATTTGTTTTCGATAATTCTCGCCTTGCCATTTCGAATTATCGGAACTCGACTGTACTCGTAACTTTTAGAAAATACACATACATATATGCAGATATGATATTATTTCGTTTTACAAGTATGATAGATATAGTCTAATCACAGACCAAGTTCAACATTTAGTCCCACATAGTATATTGCAGTCTTACGAAGGTATTTGTTATTTAAGCCTAAGATAGTTGGAATGTCAGCGGTTTGCTTAGTTAGTTTTGTATACGAAAATTCATTTATATATGTATACATATATATATATATATATATATATATATATATATATATATATATATATATCTTTCTGGTAAGCAGCCTTCCCAGTTGCCCTACTTTCACTTATAATAAAAAGAATGCGTCGAGTTAGTAAACAAGTTAGACAAATTTGAAGTGCATTAAAAGCTCAGTTTTGTTTTGTTTCGCTTTTTTTCATATTGTTTATATCATAAATTAAGTAGACTTCTGAGCACAACACAGCAATTCGCTAAGCTTTCACATATGCGACTAGAATTCTCTGTGACTCATCAAATTAAAAAGTTACAAAAAGAATGACGTAAAAATGAAAAATGATTTAGCTACCTCAGTGAAAGAACTCAGAGTTAGTTGAATTAGTTAGTCTAAATTTTAATTTTACTAAAAGCAAAACTTTTCATGCATTTTTGGCAGTTTTACTTTTTGCAAATTGTAATTCGAATAATTGAAGCTAGCAAAAACTAAAAATATATAGTTTTAGGAACATGCTTACTAGTATTATCTAGAGACAGATCCAAATACTATAATACATATTCAAAAAAGTTTTTGATTTGAAGGATAGCACTCCTTAATGAGTTCAATACAATTGAAATTCAAATATTTACAAAATTGAGTATGTATTTAATTTAGTATTTATTTAATTAGATAAGCGCTTTTAATTTAATTCTACTGTAATAAAATCATTTGACGACTGATTTCTTTTGTGTTTAAAAAGTTTAGCAAATGCTCAATTTACCCGATTTACATCTATTGGATTTCGATTTGACTCATGTCCCTGACTAATTTTTGACAGATGTTTTGCTTGGACGTATTTTAGCTCGTCTGCGATTTGTGCCAATTCAAAAAATAAATAAATAAAAAAATAAAATAAAATAAAAAAAAAAAAGAAGAGAAATAGAGCAAAGCATCTGTATCGAATTCTTGGCCAAAAACAACATGCTAATGATGCAGCGGCCATATGGCAAAGACTTGGAGACTTCCTTAGGCTTTTTCAGGACGCTGAAGGGATGACAGAGCACGAACACGGAGAGATAAGAACGGCACTGAAGCAGCAGCTGAACAACATTATAAAAAATTGTGAAATATTTATGAATGAATAATTAATTTGTAAGCAAATAAAAAATTCTACAAAGAATTTATAATCTCCAAATTATTTTTAATCTTTTCATTATTTTTGCTTTTAGGCAAAAACAAATATAATACTATGCATACTAAAGCTAGAACTAGAACAAGAACAATAATAAAATCAAAAAGATTAACCAACAAAAAACATTAACAAAGAAATTTTAATAAAAACAAATTGAAACCACGCAACAATTTTTTTTTTCTGGGCCAAATTTTTCAGAGAGAGAAAACAAAAATGCCAAATTAACAAAAACAAAGAAAGAGAAAAATTGAAATTGAAATTGAAAAAAAGAAGGCAAAAGCATAACATAACAAAAGATATATACAAACGTTGAGCAGTGTTTTTTTTTAATTTTTTTTTTTTTTTTTGAACAAAAGGAAAACATTTTCCCAACGTTCTCACTTTTGCATGGCCCCAAGCAGCAGCAGCAGCAAAAGAGAACCGAACCGAGCAGAACTCTATTTTTGCCATTTGTTTTGTTTGCGGAAATTAATTTTTACCGTACGCAGGAAAAAGAGTTTCAGATGCGATGACGTCATTGCGACTCGCTGACAGACAGACAGCTAAACAACCCAGCGCCAAATAACAAACAATCCAAACTAATTCCCAATTGAATCTCAATAGATGCGGCTAGACTTAATTGATAGACGAATTTTCGGGCTATATACACTTACATATGTACATATATGTATGTATATATATAGGCATAAATAATGAATATAAATCTTTGGCTTGCATTAGTCAATAAAGTATAGTTGCAGCAGCAAGTTCAATCGATTGAAACAGCCCAACAGAAATACAATATTGAAATATATATTGTACATAGTATCTGTCTCTATTGACGCCCGTTTGGGGCGTGGCAAATCCGACACAGCTGTCTCTTCTACTCTTTTAAAGCTAGATACTCCAATTTTAACGACTAAATTACTGTTTTCATCCTCTATTGATTTGTGTACAAATAATAATTTATACCATTTGTGGGCGTGGTAAATCGAAAAATTGATCTGGCAGCGTTTGGGCCGTAAATGAACATTCAACGTTTTAACTTGCTTTTATTTACATTTATTATTTATTTTGCATTTCTTTTTTTTTTTTTTTTTTTTTTGTTCTCTTAAATTGTTGCTTACTATTTTATATAATTTTTTTTTATATAAGTATATATTTTATTCATTTATTTATGAATTCTTTACTTTTTTTATTTCGCTTAAATTATTTCATATTATATATTTTTTCCTATTAAATTAATAACTAAGCATATTTTATATTTAACATTTTTTTTTATTTATAAATATTTTCTGTACCTTTCTTATTTGTTTAATCATTATCATTATTATTATTGTTTTTTTTTTTTTTTTTTTACTTCTTTTAGCTCTTGATCATTAGAGTTTTATTTTATTTTTATTTCCTATTAATTCAATTAACATTTATTTTTATTCTGTTATTTATATTTTTAATTTTATTTTTACTTTACAAATTAAAAAAAAATTTTTTTTTACTTATTTAGTGTTCTTAATTATTTATAATTTTTATTTTTATTTTATTTAATTAAAATATTTATTTTTATATGATTTTTCTTTTATTTTTGCATATATTCATTTCTGTATGCATTTCCCTTAATAAGTATAACATCAATTTAAGAGCTGATGAAGAGTGTATTAAGATTTCGTCATATTTTGCTTTTGGGCAATCATACACAATGTGTCTAACTGTGTTTGTGTGTTTGTGTGTATGTGCTCACGACTTGTGTTTGCCATAATATTGGAAACGAGTAGCCAAATATCGACCAGACGGAATAATATTTATTTGCTAGAAATTGATTTTAAACAGACTCTGGTGCCTAAGCAAGCCGGCCAATCTGAGTTCTAGCTTTTAATCTAGCTGTTTTCTCTTTCTTTTATTTTTTCTTTTTTGGGTTTGCCTCGCACTGTGTGGCAGCAATTAACTAATATGTATAAACATATGCTATATATACAGACTGTATCGACTATTTATATAGTCAATTCTACTTTGGTTTCTATTGGATCGTCCAATTAATTATTACTCATAATTTTGAATGTTAACTTGCTTTGCGTTATATATATACATATATGTAGTATATGCTGTTGCTGTTGCTGCTGCTGATTGTTCTGCTTCTTTGTTTTCTTAAACATTTTCTTTTGGTGGTTGCATCAATGACGTCATCAACAGCTGCGACTCGCTGAAGCGTTAAGTGACGGACGGGCGAGGGTGGAGTCAGCTCATGAAAGGTGCTCAGAGCATGCGAACTCACCCTTCCCTTCCCAAGGCGCAATTGAAGACTAAGTTGACGCGCACACAGACAGACAGACAGACACACACACACACACTCACACACACACACACACATGCATGTATGCATGTGCCTGTGTCATGTGCGTATATGCTGATGCCGCAAAGTGCAGTCAACTCGCAGACACCAAACACGTATTTCTTAGCTAAGTTTAGAGGGTCTGGTCTGGCCTCAGTTTTGCTTTGGCGGGTGTTTTGCGTGCGCTCTCTTTGGCCTGGTTCTGATAATCAGCTAACAGTTACATACAGTTGCTGTAGACCAGACCGCCTCTAGCCACGCTTTTTGCGTTGCGTGCGTGTTTTATGTGAGTTTTGCTTTGGCTCTCTTTTGCCATATTTCTATATTCCCGACGCTTTTTTGGGCCGCCATTCGGTTGGCATTTGCTTTTTGCTCGTTTTTAGTCAACGGTTAATGTTAAGCTAATGTTCTTATGGTTATGATACCCTGTACCCAGCAGACAAAGGTCATAGGCTACTTTGTAGAAGTATGTGTGTAGCAGGTAGTACCCGGTGGATTCTAAAAGAGTTGATCTACTCAACCGACAACAATATTTTGTTTTGTTTTTGTAAACAATACTTTATCAGACAATTAGACCTGCGATCTACAATTGTCAGTATACGATATACTATACACCATTTAAGATATATGATCTACGATTTTAAGTCTCCAATCTACCACTTCTGATCAAATATCAATAATCTACGAAATATATGTTCTACAATCTACCATGTGCATTATACAATTGATTTTGAGATCCAAGATCTATTACTTTCGTTCTGCGTAGTACCTCATACATTGTAAATCTTCAACGTTCAATTTAACATTTTGATTCGTGATATACACTATTTTCTACTTTATGAAAATAAGCGTTCATCTGTATTAATTTTTAAAAATATATCATTTTCCTTATGTACAGGCATTCAATACATTTTCGATTTCGATATATATCGATTGTAAAAGATTATCTTGCTTAAAGCTTTAGAAAGCAAGCAACATTATATTTATTTTTAACGGAAATATGTTAAATATTTAAGATATCATGACATTTATGGGCAGATAGAAAAAAAAACTACTTTTAAAAGCCTGGAAAGCCTACCTATAAAGTCCTAAGATTACATACTATGACACATAGTCTCTCAATTTGGAAGAAACATATGGAATTCTCATTTAAAATCTCTACTTTAACAGGGTAACAGGGTATTTACCTATTCGAGCATTCCCCAATTTGAAAGCACTTAATTGTTTGTTTGTTAGTTGCGTTTTAAGCTAACTGTTAAATTAATGGGTTTTAATACATTTAGACGGTTATGTTTAGAGTATTTGATTGCTACCTGTTATTGTTGTTGTTGCTGTTGTTGTCGTTCTTGTTATTTGAGTTATTTTTGTTGCACTGTACTGTTGTTGTTGTTGTTGCTACAGCTTGTGGTTTGCTTGACTGTTGAGTACAACCTTGACGCAATTCTGTGGTTACTTAGCTACAGTTTACGTCGTAATTCTGTACGGCTTTGGTGAAATCCAAATCGGAGCACGTGTCAATTCATTTCGTTTGATTGACATATTGATTCATTTAAGCATACGACGACTTAACACTGATTATATAACAAAAATTATACTGTAATTTTGGATACTCTTTGTTCATTAGAGAAAGAAATATTACAATATATTATTTATTACTTATTTTTATTTATTATTAGTATTATTTATTATTTATTTTTCTTTATGATTATTATTACCTAAAAATTAAAAACTTGGAATATACATTATATTTTTATATATATTTATTTTTTAGTTTTAATTTGTTTAATTAATTTTTTGGTTTAGTTTTAATTTTTTAATTTTTGTTAATTTGATTTTCTATTCATTTCTTCTTTTCAGTTTTTATTTATATTTTTTATAATGAGTTTAATTTCATTTTGTATATATTATAATATTTATATCTTGTTTTAATTGAATTCTTTTTTTAATTAGTTTAATTTAATTTAATATTTATATTTTAAATAAATTTCTATTAAATAATTTTGCTTTGTATTTTTTTTAACAATAAAATATATAAATTGAATGAAATATGATTTTTTAATTTGCCGAATATCAGCATTTTTGGGTTATCCAGTAAAAATATCAATATCAATATGGGCAGGATAAAATTGTAAATGTCGGTACTTCTTCAGCATCAGGATTTAATCCTGTTCACTTGCAACTTGAGACTTGAAACTTAATGCTACACTAGTCGGGCACTCCCGACTGCAGCACTGTTAATTATTATTGTTTTGATCTTCTATACCTTTGGCTTCATATTACGAATCAATGTACGAATGTGCACATCGTCTAGTTCGTCACTCACAACTAGAGTTGCGTTTTTTATTGACAATTGACTTTCGAGATCTCCGTTCGGAGTTGCTCAGCCTCGTTGTTGGCACTTTGCAGCTGCGTTTTAATTTGCTGCGCCATTTGCAACGTTTA